GCGATGCTCATCATAATCTCCCCCTTGTCAGGGATGTGTTAGATATGTTGGTGGATGGACAGGTAAAAATGTACCTACACTTGCTTGTTTTAAATTGAGTTGTGTCACGCGTACTCGCTTTTATGTTATTATTTGGTAGTTCATCTGGACGCCATACAGCGTCGAGTTGGTTGCTCAGCTGCCCGCATGTTGCTCAATCGACCGGCTGCTTTGGAGCATCTCTGTCCGATGATCTTCTTCGATCACGTTGAGTATCATGCCACAGAGCGTGTGCTTCGACAGTTTCACCGTCCCTAGCCTATACCGAGGGAGCCTGGATGGGAGGCTACACACTATCAGTGGGACGACCGTGGCAGCATGGACCAACGATATATGGGATGGCTACAGCAGCAGATAGTTTATTGGGAGGAGCGAGTTGAGCGTATTCCGCCACCACCTACATTTACCCAGGAGACCACTGTCCATCTGTATACTGAGTGGTACCACCGTCACACCCGACTGATGATCGGGAACCCATTCATATACTTGACGAGCGCACAGACCGTATGCCGGGAAGCTCGAGGCACTGGTATGTTTTTGTGGCTTATTAATATCTTATAATTTGGATATACCGTTATTTAATTAATATTTTAAATGTTTCACGGGCTATTGGGCATCATCAGCTCTTCCAGTTGGGTCAGCAGATGCAGCAGCGTGCCGACATCCCTAAAGTGGTTGAGTATGTCCGGCAGGTGGCACAGTTGGCTCGCCGAACACTGTTGCAGGCGAGAGATGCCGCGAGGTTGGACCGCGAGGCTCAGTACGTGGCGCCAGAGGCCTACCATCGTGGTAGGGCACGAGGGAGGGGTGGCCCACGAGCCATGGGTGCCCCACGGGGTCGCGGGGGTCGTGGGGGATGGCGAGGAGGTGGTCCCCAGCAATGGGGCAGTGAGGCACCTACCGACCCACATGCTGAGGGACAGGATGAGGACTTTGGAGTTGAGGCGCTTGGAGATGATCAGCAGGGTTATATACCTCAGGCATATGAGCCTTCCAGCAGCATGCCTTCTTACAGCCTTCAGCTATCTCTGCCGGCATCGCAGGTCACCCCGTCAGGAGCATTGTCGATCACGGGTACATTCGACGGGGATGTAGAGCAGTACTTTGCATGCCCATCTACCGCAGCTGAGGATCGGCCGACCCGGGACGTGGATGGCGGGCGCAGGTTGAGATATCCCTCATCCCCGGCAGTTCATGCGGATCTACCAGAGGCGGCGGTAAGTTTGTATTACTTTAATATTTCAATTTGTTTTCTTTTCCTTAATGAGCTGCCATTAATTAATTTTTACTTTCTTATGCAGTCTTCGTCCCAGCCCATCTTTGAGGACTCCGCTCATGCCTCCATTCAACAACAGTCCCGGGGTTAAAGTGTTGCAGTGCGGCCATGTACCTGGGCAGATTTGAAAAAGACTTATCCCAGTCACCATAAATAAGTTCAAAGGCACGTTTGCGACCGAGATATGCCTTTCTTTTGGTTATATTACAACCATACTCCTGGTGGACGGCTGTAATACACTCTTTAATATTGAACCTAATGGACACTTCCAAAAATGGAATCAAGACAAGGGAAATCAAGTCCACATCCAAGTTGAAGTGATTCTCATTGAATGTGTCCATTTCACATCTGTGCTCGTTAATAAATTTACCCACTTTCCACAAACCTGATTTCTTCTTGGTGGCACGCAACATCCAGTGACAACCCATAAACCACCTACGGTATACAGCCTTGTATTTCTCTGTAGTTGACTCACTTACCGTCATCTCACGACACTCTCTTATACTGTAAATTTTTACAGCCCTAATTAGGCGAGCTTTATCGGGGAAATACATGCCCTTTAACAGAACAGCTGGTCTAGATTCATCCCACATCGCTGACAGTAATTCATCATCATCCCTTGTGAGGGCATCCACGTTAGGCATGCTTGGCAAATTATCAAGGTAGGGAATACTCCGCTCATGAAATGGCACGTGTGACTCGTATACTCTTGGTCTAGCGGGAGGTGGAGGAACATGCTCCCTCGTCAGCTCAGGTTCAACATTCAATTCTTCCTCCTCATCATCACCCTCATCATGGAAGGGTGTGTCATCCCCAGACTCATCTGCATTGTTGTCATAATCACTATCATCCTCCTGACTCTGCGCATCTGCCAAATCACGAGTAAATACGTCGTCTATGGGCAACTGTGTGAGGTCAGGAGCTTCAAGAAGCTCGTTTTCACTGCACAAAAAGAACAAAAAGATAAGTTACCCAAAACTCAGGAAAAATACTTTAGATATAGCTATATCACTTTACTTACAAATCATATTGTCTTGACGTTTCATGATGGATATTTTCATGTTGGTGATGACTCCCGGATGGACCACCGTGGTCCAATACTCCAGAACTACGCATATTCCAACTAGTGGCGGGGTCATAACTTGTAAAATTCATATCCGGACGGTACCCCCTATAAAAAATATGAGTGTTAATACAAATCCAATTAAAACATAAAAAAAGCATCACTAAAGCGTAATAAAATTGAAGTTTACCAGTCGTCTTGTTGATTATATAAAGTCGTAGTATTATTTTGTGGCTGCTCATTTGCCGGTGGTGACAAGTTTAAATCAAGGCAAGCTCTTTCATCAGCAATCTGTCCGGCAAAAACTGCTCCAGAATAACCACCCGATGACTGAGGGTTATCCCTGCTATGCACGCCCTCATTACTGGGAACGTCTTCCACCTTGACGTACATTTTCAATAATTTTATTACAATAAATTCCCTGTATTCATCCGGAATCCGCAAAAAATCTCTAAGAGTTTCATCATCCTCGATGTTAAACTCAGAATAATAAGCAAACCCCTGCGGAGTCACTGAATACAGAAATCTACCGGTTACTTTAAGGTTAACCGAACGCCTCCGCTCACTCATTTTTTTTACGTAACAACGATACCAATGTATCGTAGTCCATAGTAAGCGGCAATTTAACATGACACTGTGGAGGTGAGCTATACCTCACAGAGTTATTCTCCACCACAACCTCACCCCTCCCAATACAGTGAAACTCTTATTTTTGGCACTTCAGACATTGTAAAAAATGATTGACAAGGAGAAGAGAGAATGATGAACGTATGTTTGAAGTTAAGTATTGAATGAATTTTCATAAAATTGAAACGCCTATAAATAAGGCAAGTCCGAGCTTGGGGTGTAGAATTTTTTAAAGGAATTCGCAGTATTATACTGCATTTTATGTATTTGAATTATTGTTATGTCAGTTAATTATTATTTGTGGGGCCAAAAATCAGTAAAAAAGGACATTTCACAGTATTATACTGCGAATTACCCTAATTCGCAGTATAATACTGAGAAATGCCTTTTGAAAAAATAGCTGGGCCCATTTTTAAGCAATTCGCAGTATAATACTGAGAATTGCTAAAAAAATATTTTTTTTAATAATTCGCAGTATAATACTGCGAATTACCTATTAATATAACTTTTTTTTTAACACTAAAAATGTGCTTTTTGTACAGAAAAAACATCAAAAAAGTTTCGGACTCGCACCATATGTGCTTTTTGCGTCAATATTATTACTGCTGCTAGCATCATGATTTTCTGTAAAACTATTTAGATCACTCTTTCTTTTGAGTACTTCTATGACAGAATGATAGGAGCAAGAAGCACTTATATATATGCATTTCAAAACGCAGAAAATTTTAATCATTTTTTCTTTTAGTTTAATTTTCTTTTTCCTTTTGGGCCATGAAGGTGCTGATGTGGCAGGGGGTGTAAACTCATGACTAATTTGACTTGCTGCACTGTATGTTCTTAGCATTGTGGATAAATACAATTTTAAATAGTATTTGAATTACTGAAAGGGATCTTTAAACAAATAAGCATTTTTCTAGCCATATATATAGATTATATATAATTATACACATATATTATATAATTTATGTATATATTATATAATTTATGTATATATTATACATTTACTGGCTATTTTTAATTTAAGTGGTTGAGTGGGCAGCTAAAATATCCTCTTCCTGTGTCAAATCAAGGCAGAAGTTTTCGTGGGTCGTCCCTTTTTGGAATAGCTGATATTATTTTTTCAATTTATGAACCTTTTGGACCGTGGTCTAAAGATCTTTGTTGAGCAAACTAAAAATCTTATGTGAAACGTTAGACCATGGTCTAATATTTTATCTGTAAGGTTGAGTAATATATGAATATGAGCTAACATTAGCCTCGAGTCTAATATTGTCTAGAAGAATAATTTTTCAAGGTCTATATTTGCACAAGTTTTAAGAATATGGACAAAATCTAAATGATGGACTAAAAAGGACATTTGCGTAAATCACCAAATCAAAGTAGGCCTACCAAAATGGAAACCAGAGAAAATAGGGAGAAATTCAAACATAGCCAGATTTACAAGTGGTCATTTAAAAATAGCCATAGTTTTAAAAGTAATTAAAATATAGCCACTTTTCATGTAAAGATAAATCTGAACAAAAAAACTGTTCAAAATCCGGAAAAATACTCCAGTATATTATCCTGGAACTCCAGTATAATATACCGGTCCAGCATAATATATTGGAGATTGGAGCACCGGTGCTCCAATCTCCAGTATATTATGCTGGAACTTTCCGCGTGTTAGAGTTCCAGCTTAATATGCTGGAAGTTCATAAACAGGTGCACCGATCTCCAGTATATTATGCTGGAACTTTCTGTGTTGCAGCAAAATAGTGTTATTTTTCAATGACTTTGCAAACGCTGGCTATTTTTGAATGACCAGTCCGAAAACTGGCTAGCCCGTGCTATTTTTATGAGAAAATAGCCCATAAAATCGAGCCCAATTTGCTAGAGCTTCTGCTTGAATCAACTCTATATTTTACCAAAAGAAAGAGCTGGATCCGATCCATGACAGAATAATTCAAGTGAAGTGGACGTGAAGAAACGAAGCTCCACTTCTCCATCTTCTTTGGTTCCTCTTTTAAGCTCTTTTATAGTCAGTCCCTCCTTCAGCAAAACATAACATAAACATAACATTACTCGTCGGGTAACAGTGTTGAAACTGATAATGGAAAATACGAAAGGATTAGAAGGAGGAGTAACGATGTTTGGGAAGGCGGAGATCGATACAAGAGCTCCATTTAGTTCAGTAAAAGAGGCTGTCATGTTGTTTGGAGAAAGAGTTCTTGCTGGAGAACTCTACTCTGCTAATAAGCTTAAACAGGTCCATTCCCCTTCTCCAAATTTATGTTATAGCTTGCAAATTTAATTAATTACGTTATTTGACTATAGCAGAAATATTTTTACTTGATAAAAGTTTACTGTTATTACTCCTTGTTTTTGTAGTTTAGGTCCGCTACAACTTAGTTCCTAGAGTGTATTTACTAAGCTTGATGTGTATTATATACACATGGGCATGAAATTTTTCTCCCACGCCTGTGTGTATTGAAATTCATAATGTCAAAATATGTGATCAATATGAAATTAGGAATAATGCGCACCAACGGTGGGGGAAAAACAGAAGAACAAATTAGAGGGCTTTGCTTGAGCAGCAAGACAAAGTAAATTTTTGTAATGTCAGAGAATAAAGGTGATATATATTGAAAAAGAGGGTGAACCGACTGATGGAAGTATCTTTTTAATGAACTAACTGTTTGGAGATACTCAGGGGCATAAGCAGGAATTTTGTAACGGTATTGAAATTTATAGAAGAAATTGAAATAGTAACATTAATTATCATACTTTTGGACAAGAAACAGCCCTTGTCTATTGATTTTGTTGAATATAAAGTTAGAAAAGGTCCTGAATTCAACTATTTGCAAAAAAAAAAAAAAAAAAAAAAAAAAAATTCTAGTTTACATTTGAAAATTTGATCTCTTAGATCAAAATCAAACACGGTTTGAACCTTTGACCTCTTAGAACAAAATCAAGTACATAACCAGCACACTAAGACACAATTTATGCTAAGTAGTGTCATTTTTTTCTACTTACCCGTTTCCTCACAGTATTAATACATATATTCAGTAAAAAAAAATCGACGAAGCAATGTCGCGTGACACAACTTCGTTAAGCGTGCATCCGCTCCTAGAGTTACTTAGATATATCAAAGATGAATTCTGAATCTTTTTATAATGAAGTACTATCTATCTTTTTGTGTTTAATATTTGTACATAGGTATATACGAGTAATATTTCGATTGGCATCATCAGGTTAAGTTATCTGCAACAAGACGTAACTGTCTACATAACATGTTATAACATCTTAAATTACACTGCTAATGTATAAAACTTACTCATTTTTTTCTTGGATTTCATTTTCTGCGGATAACAGAAGAAGGATGGATCATCATCAAGTGAAGACGACATCGATTCGTTTGATCTTGGAACAGTAACTACAGAGCTACAAGAGACAAAGCAAAGACTAGAAAGAGCACGAGAAGAAAGATTTGTAATGGTTACTTGTCTCTCTTCTTTAGAAGAAGAACTTGAACGCACAAGAAATGAGCTTGAGAATTTAAAATTTGAGCAAAAATCCAAAGAACAAGTTATGGTATCAGAAATTGAAGACCTCAAGTTTATAGAAAAATCACAAATTATGGCAAATGAAAACGTCGAGTTTCAAAAGAAAAGATATGTCACATTTGCAAATCCTCCAACTTTGAATGGCCTTGTAATTCCACAAAGTGAAAGGCATCCTTCTCTCAAGAAGAAGAAGAAGAAGAAAATCCCTCTTATAGGAGGAATTTTTTCTAGGAAGAAAGGTAGTAATTCTGATATTCAATAGGTCACGAAAGCTCGAGCAGCGGGAGCAGTTACTGACGCTTGTATTAAGGTAGGCTGTCTACATCACACTAGCTTCTTATTGGGGTGGGACCCTTCCTCGGACCATGCATGAATGCACCTTTGTGCGCCGACTCTCCTTTTTATATAGCTGATAAATTTTCTATAATTTTGTTTAAGACCAAAGTGTGAAGTTATATATGTGTTTCTTTGTGTAAAAAAAAAAAATTCAATAAGGTTTGTATTATTAGTTGAATGATATGTAGTTCCTTTCGCTTTCTGGTACTAAATAGAGAATGAGTTTTACAAATTTCAATTATCTTCAAATTAAGATTTAGAAAAGCAAATTCTGTTATAATTAAACCTGAAGATATAATACACTATGCATAAATTTACAACATCAGAACTCAAAAGCCAACACAAGCTACAAGCAAGGTTGCATATAGTAATAAACAAAATTACACAATAACGTCAGATTTTCTTCCACTGAAAATTCCCTGATCTTGTGAAGACTTATTGAAAAACTCTATACAATCAGCAATAGCTTCATTATAATGAGAAGATGATGAATAATAGGAACTACACGAAGTCTTGGGCGGGTCGGGCCTATCACATGACCTCCGCCTTTGTCCTGAGCCCGGCCCGGAGGCCATCGCTCCCTGAGCTCGATTCGGCCTCCTCCGACCGGACGTTGGAATCGGAAAAACAAAGCGCATAACAATCTTTCGGAAGCGATCAAAAAGCTTCATAGCTGAGAAATTGATCAATTTATTAGAAGACTGAAAATTTTCTGAGGATATTTCAGCACTACTACCTCTTACTTGTATAACAAAACTCTCTCTTTGAAAAGAAGAAGGCCTGTTAGTGTACATTATTGTTCTTTCTCTTTTGATATTGGAATTTCCAGAACACAAAGCTTTTGTATTTTGCTCAAGTCTGGCTATAAGAAGAGATATATATTGATGACAAGGAAAAAGATGGATGTCTCAAATCTTTAACCATGTGACCAAATCATATGTATGGGCTTTTGCTGTCCTTTCCAACTACATTTGTTTATTCAGATTGTTTCATTAACTTCCAAGTAATAATCATGTCTCGTACCATGATATTCACTTAGAAACTGAATTCAAAGATTTGATTAAAATAATCATGTTATAATGGTTTAAATATAATTTCCTTGTCTCTAACTTTTTGAAGCAACTTTCAGTATATATTTGCATGTTTTAGCGTGTGTTACAACAAGTTATAGATGCATGCATCAAAAATTTAATCCAATTACGTGAAGAGAGATATCAACTGATCGACTTATGGTCATTTATGCAATTTGTAAGTCCGATGGTTTCACTACAAAAAACTCATGATATGTTCCAGATTAATGTGATAATAACGAAATAGTAAATAATGTTCAAACAGAGTTTATCCGAAAAGGCATAACTACTAAGTGTTATTTTTCTTGATTAATTAACTTTCATGCACTAGGTGATTACGTACGAAAAGGCTAAGGTGATGAATTATCTACAATGTAACTTCAGAATGGAAAAGTTATGATGGCTTGTGATAAATGATGAAAAGTGCATATTTTTGAGTATATTTGCATATTAATTTTTGTGTGAGTCGCGGGAGATTACATGATTTTTGAAGTGAAATATGTTCATTATGTGTTTCTTATGTGTAGAAATGAGTTTGGATGATAAATGATCAAAAGATGACAATTTGACACAAAAAGGAAGATATGGAAAGAATTGGGAGCTCGTCCAATCTCGTATGTGGCACGAAAACGGACGCCAAAAAAAGAGAAAACTGAAGGCACAAAACAGCGAAGTGAAGCGAAGGCACGGATCGCTTCGCGAGCTAGACAATTGCAAAAGTTGAGTCCGCGCCCATGGGCATGCCACGCACGAAGGCAGACGCGGATTCCAGCTCTCCTATCCGAGATTGGATTGTATTGGACGACCCTCCACCCTACCTAGGTCATATAAATATACGCTAAACATGATTTTTACATAACTTTGGAGGGGAGACACTACTTTAGGGTTGCACAACTCCTTTGGAGGCAAGAAGACACTAGGAGCAAGGAGGAAGATTGAACCGCGTGTTTTTCCTTTCTTCTTCCTATTTTCTATTGTTGGTTATGAATTTTAGCATTGTATTTTCACATACTACTATGAGTAGCTAATTTATTTTTTAGGATTTTAATGGAACCGTTTGGAGGATGAATTCTTGTTAAGTTTGACTATAATTTAGCCTTTGGATTTTTTTACTTGTTCAACTACGTGCTTATTTCTGTTGATTGAATGGCTATCAATTGACTGTGCCTATTTATTATGTATTGCTTGGGAAAGGGTACATAGTTAGGTAGTTGTTGAACAACGTCATTTCTAACGTATATAAGGAATCAATACGGCAGGTTTAAAGGTGGGTTTAGGAATAACAAAGCCTTGACGTGGTCATAGTGAGCGGTAAGATTGTGCCAGCTAGCGTAGTTCGAGAGAATATGTCTAGCAAATTGTTGTAGTTGCTGGGGAGAGAATCACAACACCTGAAGTGCTCACGACCAGTAGAAAATAATTAGGAGAAATTATATGAGACGTAGCAGGAAGGATTCCGACAATTGCAAAAATCATAACTCTAGACCTCCTTAATCTTGTCTCCAACCCTTAGTATCTTTGGTTGTTAATTTACTATTTTAATTTGTTAGTTACTTAGTTTGACATAATAATCGTAATAATTGTAATTTAGGAATTGTTCAAGCTTGTCTTCCTAGCTTGGTGATAGTGAACAGTTGTAGCTAAACCTTAGTTTTCTGTGGGATTTGATTCCGGACTTTTAAACCGGATTATATTTGCAGCGACCGTTTATCCTTTTTAGGACCAGAGTTGGGCGTGATCAGCTTGCTAATCATATTTATATTTAAATGATTAAATTACTAGTAGACAGCAAGTTCACTAAGACATGATTGACTGGCCTAGTTTCTAATTAAAAGCAAAGTAAGTTTGAAAAGTACGACATCAATGAGTATTATGAATAATAACCTGCCTTTTTCCCTAAGATAATATTCTCTGGGAATCACTCCCAAATGAGTACTGCATGTGCTAGGGCCTATTTCATACGTCAGACAATGTATATTGCTTCTTGTTCAAATTGTATAAGATAGTTAATTGTTTAAGATTACCTTCAATTATTTGGTTTTGCATTGGATGTTGAATTATAGTATTTAAAGAGTTCATGTTTTATTTATGATATACATAAGAAAATTCTTCACCGCCTCAAAAAAAAATTAAGAAATCATATCAGAAAAAATTATTCGTGAATGTTCCAATAATTTCCGTTAGGAGTAAGTCATGCAAAAGCAGGGGTGGGTATTCGGGAAGTTCGGATTGCATATGAAAATTTTAGCTTGGATTTTCGATTTTCGGATTGAAGAAATGACAATCCAAATCCAATCCAAATAAATTCGGATTGGATCGGATTTTTAAAGTTCGGTTTCGGATTAATCGGTTTGGATATTTTGGATTTTCGATTTCGAGCTTATAAGTTGAGATGTTTCTTCTTTTTATAAAAAAGAATATTCAAATGACGTACTCTTGTTAAATTGCCTGAAGAGTTCCTCATTCTCACCGCGATCACTCAAACGAAGTATTCAAGTAATGAAATTACTATCAAAAAAATATAATAGAGACATTAATACGGCCGATAAGAAGTAGAAATAGTAAAATCATGTCCAAATAGAAAGTATTCTCGCAGTAACATAGTAATTAATATTGAATATATGAGATAATATCTAATGGGTAGGGTATTGAACTTATTACTATTGACATATGGATAATGGACTAAATATAAAGTATAAGAATTTCGGATTTTCGGATATCCAAAAAGAGAAATTTTCATAAAGCACTATCTTTTTGTGGTAATTAGCTATCTATAGATACCATTTGCTATATTACGGATTGTAGATACGTTTTCTGTTGTTATAAGATGTATTAGATGCATTTAAGCTATTGTATTCATGAATACAATAGCAAAAATAGTGTCACGACCCAAACCGAAGGGCCGCGACGGGCACCCGGTGCCTTACTCAATCGAGTACCAACGTAACATATCTTTCTTATCATACTATCATGGGTAAATGAGCTAGAAAACCCTTCATGAGATAACAAGAATAAAACATAAGGGAATACTTAACGTATGATGACCCAACATGATATACAAACTTATACATGTGACATACGGGCCTATAAGGCCGACATGACCATTTGTAAACTCAAAACATAGGCCGACAAGGCCATACAAGTATCCACACACCTGACATCTGTCTACAAGCCTCTAAGAGTACATAAAATTAGAAAGGTCGGGACAGGGCCCCACCATACCAATCAATACATATCCAAAGCATACTGACCAAATAGGCAACTCCAGAGCAAGTGGAGTACACCAACACTTTCGCTGAGCTGATAGCCTACTAGGAGGAATGTCAACCTGTCTATCGGGACCTGCGGGCATGAAACGCAGCGTCCCCAGGCAAAAGGGACGTCAGTACGAATAAAGTACCGAGTATGAAAGGCAGGAAAGCATAAATAAGAACAGTAATGTAAAGAGAGGTAGAGGAGATACAACCTGTAACATCTGAGTGCCTCTGGGGGCTACTGACATGAAATGCATAATACATATATATACATAAACTTTTAAAAACATACGCCTCTGTGGGCATCATCATCATCATATCATACCCGGCCTCAAAGAGGACTCGGTAAAAACATACCCGGCACGTGGAGCTCGGTAAACCAACTGATCAGTGGTTGCACAATAGGTGCCATACCCGGCCGACTATAGCGCGGCTCGGTAGAGTAAAGTAGATACGTATATAATGCATGCTGGACTCATGGAGTCACGTTCTAAACCTTTTGGAGTGACATAAAGTCATTGTACCATCGATTAACATTATGGACATCATGCCATCAATATGAACTTCACTAGGACTCAAGGATCATATATGCTTTCTTGGAATAACTTTGTAAGGAAAGAATAACATGGACAACTTTAGTTGCTAGGAGTAGATTCATTATGAAATAGCGTATCGTTTATGTTCGTTTCACTTTAGATCATGCCAAAAGAATGAAGGAAGAGCCTTAACATACCTTGTATATACTGCCCCAATCTCAAGCTATGAAATTTTCACGACTCCTTAGTCTACAATAAGAGAAACGATACTGTAGTTATCATTCAAGCGTCATAACTATTATGTATCGACCACAACCT